CCAAGTAGTTATTCATAGCCATTTGCCCAAGAATAAACTCTTCCTTTTCGCCATTATAGGCTATCAAAAGGCAAGGTAAGACTGAACCAAATTGATGAACGTTCCCCTCAAGTGTTGTTTTTCTGGGTTTCCATCACGGTGGACCCAGATTTGCGCCCAAGCCTGCCACTAACGACTCTCCAGAGGGGCGACACAAAAAGGTTATCGATTCCCGCTGTCCACCCGCTGAGGAACTTTCACTCAAGACATTGGACATTACCGCTATCGAGTGAAAAATCTTTGGGGCTTTTTGTGACCTTTGGACGTTGTATATAGAATAACATATCCCTTTGGTAATTGTTTGGTATTGATTATGCTCTGCTGTATGGATGAATTGTGTGATAGTCCAGTCAGCTAAGGAGGATTTGATTACACTGAAGAGGGAAAACAGATTGAGAATGGTTTATTAAGTTTTAGTTGCATCCTTGCTATTGATTCAGCAGAAAATGTAGGGTGAGATGAGCTAGTAAACTATCTGTGTCGGTAGATATTGATCACGTTACTCCATCTACACATCTTGAATAAACTGGAACCAAATGTCAAAATTAAAAGACAATGCATCGGGAAACCAATGTTGGTGCAATTTATACGTTTGATTCCTCAGAGGTTGAATCTTTGCCAAATGCAAAATTTGCATTTCCACTCATCAGTTTGTGAACTTCCTAGGGAATCAGTGCCATTACCCTATCTGTAAATTGCCTGGCTCTGTTTTAATGGCTCACCTGGCTTCTCCAGTACACAGCTATTACCACCCATCCCATAGGACTTACAAAGTTGGGATACTTGATTCCAATGCTTGGTCTCCAATACCGATTCTGAGAGCAATGTGAAACGTATTGAGTAGAATACATGTAAGATAGGAGCTAGTAGTTTTAATAATTTGCACAAAACAATTAATTTTAACAAATTGAAATCATGACAATTTTGTCAGAGAATTAGCAAAGGATAACTGAGAAAAAAACCCAAATATGATTCAGTTGCCTGATGTATTACAAATAAATAAGCAGGTTAATGCCCGCTGGAGGCCAGTAATCAATGTAAGCAATGGCTCCCTGATATGACAACTGAATACAAAGATGAGCTTTGATTTTACACAACACACGAAACACAGACCACGATAGTCATCATGATATTTGCCTGGATCTATTTTTCTGGATGAGGAAGCAGCAGGGATTGGCAGGTGCAGGTGTGACTAGATCTATTATTTATTAAAATAATTACATATTACACACTTATGACTCAACTGTAATGTTCCCGCTCAGCATGAGGCCTAGCCAAGTGTATCTGTCAAAGTCATGAAAATAGCTGCAACCACATCTTATTCATATTTAATTTTCACTGGTTTGGCTGTGACAGACCTATAGCCAGGACTGCCCAACTAGATGATGGCTATACAAAGGGCATTATGTATCCCATCAACACAATTTTGTTTGGGATCCTGCAATGACTGTTGAGAGGTCCCGTACATGTAAATGAAGCACTGTCAAGGATCCCTTTGTTGACAACATATAGACCATGCAAGTAGACAAGGTCCCTTGAGAGTATGATGTGATGAGCAAACTTCACCCCAAAAGAATTTTTGTGGAATGTAACTACCAGTTAATTACAGACATTAAAAACAACAGCAGCCATGCATGTCCAACTCAATATACCGATGATCTCCCCCTGGACTTATTCTGATTCATTGCAATGATGATTCATTTGTTGGAGTATAACAAAACTTTCAGCAGAACAATGGAATATTACTTAGATGCTTATATGTTATTTATCAGGAGACAAGTTAGTCTTGGTTCAACACATCTGATAATTACTGCTTATTTAGGGTATAGAGCTGATGATTAGCATAATTATGTATTTCCATTGTACCTCTAACAAAGCAATGCCTGTGCTTGCCAACCAAAAAAATGCCATAGTATAATGTGTGATGTATAGTATCCCCTACATACCTACACTCTCTGTCCTCTGTACTAACTGTGAGTCCCAAATAATTTGATGTAGAAAAAACTCAAAGATTCATTTTGCAATAAATGTCACATTGCTACAACATTTTCTTTTTGTGTTTTGCCATTATAATATATTTCTGTCAGTGCTGTTAAACCCTGCTGCAAAGGGGCCTTTAATCTTTTGCATGTCTGGCTCAAATCTGACTTATTTTGATGAGGGTCTGCATGGGGGGTCCCGACAACGCTCTATGGTAAATTTTGAGAGCCGGCTACATACTACGCTGAAGTCTTCCTATTAACGTTTTATGATGAATTCCTGGTAGCTCCAACTCATTACGTGGAATTAAAACAGCAAATTAAACTCTACACAAAATGTGCTAATTATGCTCTATGTTGAATTAAAGCAGTCTGTCTACACTCTACATAGAATTAAAACAGCTGATTACACTTTACAGAAAAGGGCATGTGGGCCTCCTTTGATCAGTGTTTAAACATTTAAAGTTCTTTTAGGCTTTTATCCATGGTGCTGAATGACTGGTTGTTCTGCTTTGAAACCCAGTAGTGTTGGATGACATCTCCCAATGTTATGGAATGAATGGCTAAGCCTTACATACATTATTTGGACTCACTGAAGCATGCAGGAGTGTTATCTTACCTTACACCCATGGTGAGGGATGGCTAGGTGTTAGACTTTGATAACCAGTGGAATTGTATGACATTCTCTAATGCTATTGAATGGCTAACCAAGATTTGTTCTACTCACGGAAGAACATTGATGGACGCCTTGCCTCCTTGCCAGTCCTTGGTGCTGATCTGCTATCCACTGTAAAAGAGAAATGACCAAGTTGGCTTTTCTGTTTCCTGTACAGAATAGCTTCTCCAAAAGAAGATGCCCCTTTCCTCCCTTTTTAAGTGTCTTCACTGAAAGGGCTGTATGTGGTTCCAGGGGAATTCTTCCAATATTGTGCCCATTGAAGTGAATGAACAGCTCTATCTTGAATTGAATTGAATTGGGTGGACACCCACTCTCCTTGCCGCCTGGAGCTGAATTGCGTGAGCTTACAATTGATGGGGAAGCAGCGCGAGGGTCTGGAGCAGCTGGCTTTTGGCCTGGGGGTGACCCCAATATGACAGCAATTGCCCCGAGGCCAGTCATGAGAGTAAGCTTTTTATCCGCTCACAGCCGGTGAATCCCAACTCTTCTAGAAAAGTGTGATGGTTTCTTAAATGTGCTTGAGGTGTAGCATGAAGAAAGTGATTTTACTTTTTTTCATCCGTGGTAAATATACCCATACTCTTTGAAGTGGTGTGATTGGTTCATTAACATGTATCCACAGTGTAGCTCAGGCCCAGTGCCTATATTTGTTCATCTATGACAACCTTTTTCTTCGCTACATTTTGGGATCATGTGAAATATAATACACATGTACTTTGTTTGATTCTTTTTTTTATGCAACTGTATGTGTTCTGTATACATGGCTAGAAAGTCTTAGTTTGCTTTGCCATTCATTTTACAACTTAATTAACCTGTGTTTTAGAAAATACTGCAAATTTGATTCATTCTTACACTATCACTGCTGTACTGTGTTTTGCTATGGTCCTTGCTTTGGTTTGTTTCTCCATTTGAAAAATATGATATTGATTTTAACATTGAACACATGATTTCCAGTCCCTTTATGTTTCCATTTCTGGCCTATATTAATGTTGTTTATGCATGATGTATGGCTTACCCCAAAACCGTATATTGACTTCTACATAAAACAACATAAGGCCACACCAATTTAATTTGTTGGTTCTCGGATTTGCCTCTTCGTTTTTTTCTGATTTGCAAAAAAAAAAATTTGATTCTGGTCCTGAATCAACTGAAAAATGCTCATGTTTTGCTCCCCAACAGTTGAGGAAAGTCCTTTTCTTCCTAGTTGTTACAGTTTTCCCATCTATCATTGCAGTGGTTTGATTGAAAGTTCAAAATTCAATGTTTAAATTTTAACCCAGCCTTTTATGTTGACTTCATGGCTCATTTTGTAGCATTTAAGCCTATAATAGGATGCCTAGACCTGTTTTTATTTTTATTTTTTTTCGCCCTGTCGCTTCATATTTTTTCTGAAACAATCTGAGAACCAACAAATTAAATTGGTGTGGCCTAAAGATCTGTCACTCATCAATATTGCCACTGAATTAATTAAAAGCATGACCTAAATTCCCCAGGACATGTTTCTTTTTCAAACACTCAACAACTTTTCTGCCCGAGCTGGACTGTTACAGGGCGCCCACAAGCATTTGTAACTAAGTTATCCTGGTAGTGAAGACAAATTACGTTACCTTTCACTTTGGGGCTGGAGAACCCTCATCTAATCTATCAAGATATGGGCTTTTGGCTTGCTTCAGCAGTCTCTACACCATGTGATATTGCAATAGCCACAGCCTGTCATTTACAACAGTGTCCGAGGCAATAAGACAGATTTCACATCTTATGTGCAGTAAATCACGACTTACACCTTGTGAATATTACATATCCTCTTTTTTCATTTTGGCTCAATCCAACTTGGATTCTATAACATTGAATGATGACTGACTGTATGGGGGCATCTGTAAAGTGTAATTGTATTTCATATCAGATATTTCTTTTATGTGACTGTTCCATGGCAAGAAATGCCATATCATGCATTCTCAACATCTCAACATTGAATGGTGTGCAAAAGAATAATAATGAAGCTCACAAGTCCTGTCTTGTTCCTGGATTCTGTGCAGTGGGAAGGAAACACATACCCACAGAATTTTAACAGCCCACTACTTGTGCATTGTGCTGTTTTATAATGTAAAGGCCAAAAACCATATTCTTCAATGAGAAAATCATACCAAGAATCTAAGATTATTCTGATCGCATACCCTGCACGGCAGCACTAGTATGGCAACCATGATCATTGATAACAAAATTATGCATGAAGCAATAACAGTGGAATGATATTTCAGAATTTAGCAGCATAATCTAATTCATCTTCCCTCTTTCCTGCCCAGAAACTTTTTTCCTGTCCACCCAAAGAGCCATCCCGTCCTGTCAACCGTGACTGTTGATGACAAAGTTCCAGCAGGACCCAGTGAGGAATAGGATTGTGATTTGCCGTCGTTTTCCCCAGTCAACAGAATCAATCTTGCGGCACGTCCTACACCGCTGTGCCAATGTCAGGGCGGGGATTCTGTGCCGATGCGATCGCTGCAGCGTGGAAATGTCATCAGAAGTAAATGGAGTGTCGCGGCGAGGTGACGGCGCACTATCAGTGACATTTCTCACGCACTGTTTGCCGATTCCATGTAGATCCTTCCGACTTGGAAGGGATTGCAGGCAGAATGTGAACAGTTTACGCATCTTTTAACAGGAGCTCAGGCGTTCTATTTTCTGGTGTTTGTATGTGGTAATGTCTTTCCTTTGTAACCTTTGTGATTCAAAAACAAAAAAGAAGACTACATTATACTTTCACATATAGTTCAATAGCAATGCTACTTTTATTTGCTAATTATAACCTATACCTGCAAAAAGTCACTGATGATATAGACAGAACTGTTTCATAATGTATTTCATACCTCATAATATTTTATGGCCCATAGGCAAACACAGCATTCCTTCGATCTGTTACCATATATTCCAAAACAGCTAATGCATACAAAATGTAATGTACATGTACATAGACAATGTTTTATGCTACAGGAATAATGACATACATTTGTAATTATATACAGCCTACTATAACTTTAAGCACTGTGGCAGTGTTTAGGCATTTGGAAGCCATAAAAATATGACATTTTAAAGAATGGGTGACTATAGATGCAGGTACTGCGAATTACCCATTGGATGCAATTACCCCATATTATATCTAATACTTGTAGCCTTGGAGAAACTGTGAATTTGAAATAAACTAGCATTATAATCCTAATTCTAATCAAGATTGTCGATTGAGATATGAAAATTCTCTTTTAAATAATGATAAATGGACAACTTGCCCAATATACAAGCATATTTGTCATTCTTTATAGCTTTGTTGTATTGCTTTTTATACATTCTGCTGCCTAAAGGCCTGATTTCCAATATGTTTCCCAGTATATATCTCTGTAAAAATGTCACATGAAAATGTCAGAAATCCATCATGGAGAATGAATGGACAATAACTCAGAGTCATTGTGCGACAGAACTACTGTACCAAATGTGGTCGAAAATAAGTGTTGGTATGGAATATATTGAATGTCTCTCTTCACTATTTGATTCCAAAATTGTACACTAGCTGTTGAAATCTTCAACATTACAAGTAACTAAAATATGTGCCCTTGTGGTATATCAGAAAAATGTGTATTGATTGTTGCCCTTTGTAAAAGAGCACATTTGTCATTGAGGAAGAAGGAGGATGTAATATTATAGAAGTTTATGATATTGCTGTATGAGTTATGTATTTAATGTATGGCTGACAAATATGATATTACCAACATCAAGGCTACACTGAGGCATTAATGTTGTCCTTTTTTCACTGAGAAAATCATGGTCTGTCCAACTGCACATTACTGTGCATTTGCTGTTGCTCCTTGAGTTATCATGCATCCCTGAAGTGCATGCTACAACAAGAAAGGTCCACATAAAAGGCACTGATAGCTTCCTCGGTAGAACAATCGGGTGAAATAAAAGGAAATGTCCTCTGCTTGTTCTGGCACACTGTGCACATCAAGAGTTTATGATCTGTAGCTGCAGTGCCTCCGAGATGTCCACTGATGGGCATGGAAAATCCCCGGGTAGTAAAGACGGCTGGGACAATGTTCTGGGTTATGAAAATGGCTGCATCATGTCTCCAATATCACTGCATTTGGCTGCCATATAACCCAGTAGTTGGTATGAACACTGGGCAATATCTCAAGTGCATCACACTGGTTGCAGAAGTTTCAATATATGTATATGGAGACCACACTGAACTTCAGTACAAAGTTTTAGCAAATATCTCAAAACAATCAAGGCTACAGATGAATTGAAGGGGGGTAAAAGAAGCATGGTGAAAATTAACAACAAACTCAAGATCTACAATGTCACATAATGCCACTCCTCAAATCCTCAAACTTGTTTGCCCTGTAACTTTAATGAGAAGTTCAGGAACCGACACTGATTGAAACTTCTGAAAACGATAGGTGTACCAAAATCAATCAAACCTAAATCAAAACCACCCTTGCGGACGGATGGTGGTCGAAGCCTTTTCCCGAGCCATCAAGCCAGGAGAGTACCATGCAGCACACGTCCCGACTTTGTGGCCAGATTTTCATCAGACCCCGTTATGACCCTATGAATCTGACAGCATCAGGATTACCGACCAGCGAAGCATCGGGACATAAACGCGGTCCGGTGTGATTGGATGTTCCCAACCCTGTCCCCCAGATCATATCTCCCGTTCAAGCCCATAATTTGAAAATAGAATAGGTGGGGAGAAGTATTAAAGCGGGTATTCGGACTTAGCTGCCCTGCCCGGTCCACCTAAACCGCTGCCCGGTCCGGTCCGAGGCCGCTAATGGGGGTTTTGCGTATCCCATGCGCCGGAGCAAGCATTTCGCTTTTTCTGCGTGCGGTTGCGCCCCCTAGCGCCCCCTAGCGTATCACTTCTTCTGGCAACGAATCATTTTCCCGCCGCACTGCCGATACTAGCGTGCACGTGTTTTTTTTTTTATTGGTGATCGTCCCGCTTTGCTTGACGATGTAAACAGAGCTAGAGGTAGTCGAAGTTATTTACATTACATGAAAATTGCGTTGTAAAACACCAGTGGGATGTCTGATTTTCTACCATTGACAATGTTTTCTTTGTGGCGTCATAGCGAGATCGACAATTCATCGACTGTGCAGAC